ATATGAGAACGTAGCACGCTACACAAAAAGTATTATAGGATAATAACCACCATTTTAAAAAATGACTTAACTCTGAGTTCGAGGCCAGACTTGTCTACACAGCGAGTTCCAGGACTGCCTCTAAAGCTACAGAGAAACCCTGTCTGGAAGGAAAACAAAAACAAAAACAAACAAACAATAACAAAACAACAAAAGATTTAAAAAACAAACAACTACAACAAAAACACCAAGAGTTTTGTTCAACCCCTTACTACAGAGGAACTGTGACTTATTCAGTAAGTCAATAAACTGATTTGTGTGTGTTTTACACTTTAGATTGCTATGCTAAGAGCAAATATTCTTTCCATTTAATGCATGTTGGGCTAGAATAACTGTGTGCTCCATCTATGCAGATGAAGAAATGGAAGAAGAGGTAACATGGAGATGTTTGGTCGATGCGCTTGGTTTGTTCATCAGTGTGAATGATCTCCTTTAGAAGTATTTATTTATTTATTTATTTACATATTCACTCATTCATTCATCCATTCATTTACTTTATTGCTTTAAGGAAAAGACAATTCTCAGTTATGGTATAGATATGAATAGTTTGTGTTGGAATGGATTTTCATTTATTGATACAAATTTAAAATCAATTTTTTGATATGTAGATTTCTCCTCTTGTTTAGGTATTGTGTAGAAATGTAATGTATAACTCAGTACATATTATAGATAGTTACCTATAATAGTCAAAACTTATAGTTAATTTACTTAGGATTTCTGGATATACAGAGATGTTTTTGAGATAAATAGGCATTCTTCAAACCTTTCAAAGACCTACAGAATGTGGCATTTTAAATGGTTTAGGGTTTTTCTTGACAATGAGGCACAATTGCTCTTGGCAACACCACCTGAGTCAGAAAGGAAGATGGACATAGAAAAAAAAAAAAAAAACGCTTTATGAAGTTTACTTCCAATATGTCAAGACTAGCCATTTGGACAAGATACTGCTCTTGTCTGGACTGTTTGACTTTATGCTGTATAAACTAGACATGCAGGACCCACAGAAAAGTGACTGCTGATTCAAGATGGACATTGCTACAGAGTTTCTGTTTCATGGAAGAGTCTGCCAGACAGTCTGCAGGACACAGAGAAAAATGACTGACAAACTGCCAATATAGGTGGACAGTTTAAAGTTTCCCTACTTTGCTGAAGAGTCTGCTAGACACACTATGGCCTATGGGCTGAAGATGGAAGATTACAGAAGAACTTTGGGTGACTGTCCAGGCTGTGAGTTGCCTCTGTCATTTCTAGAGTTTATATATTATCCGTCTGTGGTTTTTGAAGGAGTTGAAGACAGATAGTTATGGTTATAGTTTTCCTTATTTAGGATTAAAGATAAGTTACATAGACTTTAGACACACAAAGATAGGATAGATGATGGAATGTTTTCTTTAAATCTTATTAAATGTTAATGGGCTAAATATTATTAACTGTGATTCTTATTCGATAACTGTTGTGTGATATATTTTGCTATGTTAAGGTTAAAACTCTTCTTTTTATTTTAGATAAAAAAGAGGGGATGATGGGAGATGTCATTCTGTAAATATGTTTATCATACTGGTTAATGAATAAATCACTGTTGGCCAATAGGAAAGCAAGATAGGTGGAACTAGGAGACAAGGAGGAAAGAGGAAGTAGTAGGGAGGAGTCAACATGGAGAGACTGGAGAGAGCAGGAAGCCAGCCAGGTCTCTGGTAAAATGAGATGACGTGGAAATACATAGATTAACAGAAATGGGTTAATACTTAAGACAGAGCTAGCCGATAAGAAACTAGTACCTGGCCAACAGCATTATATCAAATACAGAGTCTCAGTGTGTTAATTGGGGCTGGCACGGCGGCGGAACAAGATCAGCGGTGGGCGGAAAAACCTACTCCTTACACTCAGTAGGATTATTACTTTCCATAAGTTCTCCCATGATGCTGGTTATTTGGGAGGGGTTATGTATCAGGGACACAGTGCTGATACCCACCTTCTGGTTGTCACTTCCCAGATCACTTTTAATGAATACTTTCCTTACATTGAAACAAAAACTATTGGTCACAGGACATACTCATTCCTCTATAGCTAGGTAGCTAGGCTAAAATTCCCTCCCTATTGTATTTCCCCTGTAAACTTTAACAGTCTGTTCTGTCTCACTCATATATCTTATCACCCTCCACTTACTACATAACAATCTCAAACAGTTGGATCACCTGGAAGACCTTATTAAATTCACAGTCTGACTCTGTGAGGACTCTAGAACACTCAGAGATCCTGCATTTCTTTGTATGGCCCCCTTTCCCTTTAAGATAAAACCATATTATATCACTTAGACTGGCCTTGAACTTGAACTGGCCTCAGAGCATCAAGCTCTGGGATTACAGGTGTGAGCCACAAAGGTCCTGGTCTCTATGAAAAGCTATGGAGAACTTTGAAAAGCAAAGTACCTGAAGCATTGTTTGGCTGCTAGCAAGTCCACCACATCCCTGATAACATTTTTGCTTTAGTATTTTCCCTGCTTCCCTGTAGCCCTGAGTATTTTCTACAGAGTCAATGTCCTCTCCCCTTTTCTGAAGAAGTAGCACCCACTAACCCCTGATAAAATCAACCTCATATTATTGTTAATTAATAATTAATAATGGTGTCTCACAATATAGTTCAGGCTAGCCTCTGAATAGCTGCTCTTTTGTCTCAGCCTTCAAAGTAGTTGAATTTACAGGTCTACTTTCACCTTCTCCTCCACCAGTGAACCCAGCACTCTAATGTGGAGCTCTTGAGTTTTTCAGTTTTCAACCCTGGCAGTTCGCTTGCTGTACCCACATGGCCTCCCCATGCTCTCCTTTGTCCACCAGTAAATGACTTCTAAACCATGGCTCCAGCTTGTATTTCTTGAGTTGTCCCACTCACCATCTTTTCTTAGATGTCATAGATACAGTCAAACCCAAGAGGTATGAAGCCAATATTTCCTCCTGGTAGTGTGTGTCATTAGTACTCAGCCAGAAACATAGTTGAGAAAACTATTATTATTAACTCTTAAATCCGTTCCTAATATTAGCATACAGATCAATGGGCTTAATGAAATGTATGCATGTTCATACCCTGATTCTGCCTACTGCCCTTCCTGCTCCCCAGAAGCCCCTCTTCTGCTCTCAAGTCATATCTTATTTCCTCTTTTCACCCCCACAAGAGCTCCTTTTCCCTGTATTTCCCTGATTTCCCCTGTAAACTTTAACAGTCTTCTCTGTCTCACTCATATATCTTCTCACCCTCCACCTACTACATATCAATCTCAAACAGTTGGATCACCTGGAAGACTTTATTAAATTCACAGTCTGACTCTGTGAGGACTCCAGAACACTCAGAGATCCTGCATTTCTTTGTATGGCCCCCTTTCCCTTTAAGATAAAACCATATTATATCACTTACACTGGCCTTGAACTTGAACTAGTTTTCCCCGTTCTAGTTTCATGTATGAAAATAAAAATCTAGGACCTACAAGACAGGGAATGTGAAGTATTTGTCCTTCTGTGTCTACTGTGCTTACCATAATAATTAGTCCATTCATTTACCTGAAAATGTTATGATTTCATTCTCCTTTATGGCCCAATAAAATTACACACATTAGGTGCCTCATTAGCGTAGTAGGTAGCGCGCCAGTCTCATAAAAGTACACATGTTGATATGCATCTAACCTAGGCTCACTTAAGCTGTTTTGACTGAGACTCCTTCAGAAGTAGTATAGCTGGTCATATTGTAGCTCTGTTTTTAATTTGTTGAGAAACTCCATGCAGAGTTCCATAGTGGCTGGACCAGTTTACACAACCACCCACAGTGATTATGGTTTCCTCTTTCTCCATGACCTGGCCACCTTTTGTGGTTCTCAGTTTGTTGGATACATCCTTTTGCCTTGCTCTCATGTATCCTCTCTTCTCGTGTCTCCCTCAAATGTATTAAACAAATCAAGCTTCATCTCCGTTTCTACCATCACCTCCCTGACTCCTGAAATGTACTTCATTGCCTCTATTCTCTTGAGGTTAACAACTATCTTCCTCCTTCTTTATCACCCCTGTCATTGAACTTGCACCTGGACCACTTCATCGATTTTCCAACGACTCTTTCTTCATCCAATTTGTTCCTAAGTAACAGAATTTTCATCTTTTTCCACAGTTACTTTCACAAGACAGCAGGAAAATCATCTTCCAAATTAACCTTTTAAAAGACTTCCATTATCTCAGATTTAATCCCAGTTTCTTCATCAAGGCTTTATGATTTGTTCCTACAATTCCTGCATATCCATTCCAGTTTTTCTCCCCATCTCTGCCAGACTACCACAAGCTCCACTCTGGTCATACCAGTCTTAGTACCCATTCTCCAATGCCTCAGCACTCCTATGCTACTTTGAAGGAAAAGATAAAAAAAAAAAAAAAAAAAAAAAAAAAAGTGAGAGGGAAGGACTATAAAGCTCCTAGCCTACATGCCTTGACTTTGTAGGACATTTCTAAAGCCATCCCTACCAAAATGCTCTCTAGTTGCAGTATTTATCGTTGCAATTCTTTATCAAAAATTAGATGATGCAATTAGGAGTAGCTAAAGTCTTTGGTACATCTTGATGTCTGGCTACAAGGAATTTGCCTAGGCATACTCTGGCCTCACACCCCTTCTAGGCCGAAAAACAGGTACAGGGTGAACACCTCCTCAGTTCCAGAACCACTTGGAAGACAGCTAAGGCAGGGAGTCACTACGTCCTGCGTCATCACGTGCTGGGAAAAGGGTGGGGCCCCCCTGGGAGTAGCGAGGGGCGGGGTCGAGCAGGTGGGGCGGGACTGAGGGGCGGGGCCGGGCTGCGCGGGGTCGCGGCTGCAGAGGAGCCGGTCCGAGGCTGGTGGCAGCGCCTGAGTGCGGTCCCCTCGACGCTCCGTGCCCCACGCGTGCTGTGGAGGGGCTCAGCCCTGTGCGAGCCCGTGACCGGACCGGTGGCGGGACTCGGAGGTGGCAGCGGAGCCGGGCTCTGAGCGGCGCGGCGGCACACGGCGGGAGCCGGGAAGTCCCAGAGCACCGCGGCGCCTTCTGGCTCCCGGGACGGGGCGCGGCGGGCGTGCGGGCTCCTCCTCCGCGGCCACCCCGGCAGCCCCGCGTCCCCTCTGTCGCCCGCACCTGCGCGTCGCGGTCGGTCCCGCCCTCGGCGGCGGCTCACCTGGGCGCCGCGCGGGCCGGGCGCCGCCTCCGGGCCGCAGGTGGAGCGGGTAGGGCGCGGGCACCATGAGCAGCGGCGCCAACATCACCTATGCCAGCCGCAAGCGGCGCAAGCCAGTACAGAAAACGTGAGTGACGGCGGGCCAGCCGATCGGAGGGTACGGGAGGTCCCCACGCGGGCTGCCAGCCAGTGCATTTAAAACCCATGCCCGCCCAGGGCACCGCACCCTCGCAGCTTGGCGACCTTCGATGCCCCGATGCGTTGACAGGTCTGACCTACCTGAGGCCGCTCTGGATTATTTAGCTAAGCCTGTCTTGAAATCCTTCTCCTCTCCAGTTCGCCACCTTGGTGAGCTTTAGAGGACGTGTAAGATCCTTAGTGACCTGAGCTCCTGAGGTGAGGTGCTGGGAAGAGCTAAACACGTGCGGGTTTTGAAGGAGGGGTTCTTGTGCCTCTGAAGGAATTCCTTTCTGTTCTCAACAGCCAGCCTTCTGTTTTGCTATCTCCTTTACTTGCTAGGCAGCAATCTTGCAGGCTCAGTATAGAGCAGAGTTGATAGTAGATTGCAGCCTGCAGTGGACAGGTGCCCTGGCGGCTTGGTAGCATTTTTAAGCCACCCTTTGGTGAAGCTTTCTTCCTTTTGGAATGGTTTGGGAACCTATGAAATTAAAAGAAGAAAAGAGGAAATAACTGTACTTACTTATAAATTCTTCTCATTATCTATCTATAATTCATTTTCCCTCACTTAAAAATGTCTTGCCAATTCTAGCACGGGTTTACAGTCTTTGGTCTTTGTTTTGATGAGGGTATTTATGTGCAATGAGAAATACTTATAAATAACTTTCCCCAGAAAAAACAGATTCATGCTTGAGACAGGTTTCTGTTTAGGAGTTGGCTGTATTGACGCATTCATCAATAATATCTTGGCGTTTCTACAAGTTACCATTGCCCAATTTTTCATAAATAGGTTTAGGAACACTTTCAGGCAATCCGTAGTGCGCATTTTGCTTAAAATTCGACTTATCTATCACACAAGTGAACCGGAAAAATAACATTGTATGATTCATACACTACTTACAACTGATTACTGGCTTAAAAGTTTTGCTATTCGTGAATTTTAATTTTCTTTAAGAATTTCACCTGCCCTGGTTCCTCATATCTCGGCTTATAAATTAGTATTGAGAGAAGAAGTCTGTGGGTAAATGATGCCACCAGAATTCAGAAGTTTTATGGTACACTGTATCAGACGCAAATATCACCGACTCAGCAGTTTTCTGCCTAGGCATTTCTGAGGCCTCCGACTTCCAGTACTTTGCTGTTTGTAGAATGGTTTCTTTTATTAAAACGTGTTTGCTCAGTTTGACATTGTTCCTGAGGGTTTTCAAGTACCTGTTCCATGTTTTCATTAACAGCAATACTAACTCAGCATGAGGAGAAATAGTTGTATCTCAGATTTTATGAACATGGGCAAAAAACAAACAAACAAACAAACAAACAACCTGAAGCTCCTTGTGGATTTTTAAGCTATCTATATTCATTGTGTCATTTAAGGACATGAAGTACTTTCTACAAAAGGTTCACTGTCTTAGTTTTTATTTGTTATAACATTTAATGTTTTTAGTTTCTAGTTAATAGAGAGAGAGAGAGCTTCCCTTTTAACACATAACACTTCCCTTTGGATCAAGACACAGCTTTTTATTATATTGTCTCAGTATTTTCATTATTCCCTCACACTGTAACATACTACATTTGATAATTTATAACTAAACTGTGGTCCCACTCACGTAGTTTGATTTTATTTGGTCCGTAGCTGCAGTTTATCAGATCTTGACTGAGCACCCTGAATTGACTAACCTTTCAAGTGTTTTAAAGGTCACCAGCTTTGTACAAGAGCTTATATCATCTAGTGAAAGTCCTTACACTTTCCCCCTGAATGGGAAATGGTCAACTTTACAATGCACTTAGTCCAAGTTCACTCTTAACAATTAGGTTATTAAATTTTAATATGAATCTTAAACTTAAAATATTAACTTGTGTGCCATGAGGCCCCAAAAACCACAACATCAGGGAAAACACATCTTTGGGGTGACCATGCTTTCTCATTTTACTTAACTTGGATCCTTTATGGGGTAGCCATTTTGTTTTACTCAGAGAGCACATGCACTGTTATTCTATGGTTTTGAAAAATGCCCACTTAAATGTAAAGTAGATGACAAGATTTTAACCTGAAGGATCGGGAGGCAAAATAAGCCCCCTCTAGTGGCCAGTCTCACCATGGCAATTATCTTTAGTAGGAACTAAGTTTGAAAAAATGTTCAATTTCATCCCAGTACAGTGTCTTGTATACAGTTGACTGTGAATATACAGTTGACTGTGAATAATTGTTTCCTTCCTCTTTGGTGCAATGAAAGTTAGGAAGTTAAAGGGCCCGAAGCAACCGTGCATCCAGCCCATATCCTCATCTTCAAGGTCAAAATTCCAAAAACTGCCCCGGGAGTAGACAGTTCTTCAACATTTCTTAGCTAGCTGCCCCACACTTAGTAAGTCTGCTCCAGAAAATGAGCAAATGTTTTCATTTAAATCCTGTTCTTGCTTATTCTCTTTGGAAAGGAAAATGTTTTCTGTATTTGTTGAGTTATTCCAACTCATGAAGATGGCTGAAATACCTGCTGTGGAATGATTGATTGCTCTGGCCATTATAACTTTAAGTACATTCTGGAAGTTTTATTAAGACAGAATTGCTTTCCTCCTATCTTAGTTCATCACATTTTTAGAAAGTTAGTAAAGCCTGCTAGCAAATCATAGGTGCTTAGTAAGTTGTGTGCATTGGAAGATGAGGCAGTAGTGGTGGCAATCAAGCCAGCCTCCGTGGGGTGTGGGGGCTGTAGCTTTCAAGAGTCACATGACTGCTGTTGAGGTACACATTTGATCATAGCTTTTTGCCTTATTAATGTGCTGGTGATGTCGAAGGAATGTAAAAGCCCTTCATTCTGTGCAAACACCGTGAGCCTCACCTATTTAATAAACCTTACCAGAAGTTTTGTTATGTAATACTGTTTTCCACAGACCTATGGTGTGGTGCCCTCTTCTAGAGAGCACCTAGAATAAAGGTCCTTCCAGATGCTTAATCTTTTCCTTCATCCTTTTCTCTCAAATAGCATTATTGAGAGGGTGTCTGTGTTGAGGCTGTAGATATATATGCCTGTGGATGGGTCTAAACACAAGGGCTCAGATCAAGCAGAGCAGAAGAAACCACAGATCCAAACTAAAAGATGAGGCCTAGTTTCTCACTGCTGTTAATCCCGTCACAGTTTTTGTTGTCTGTATTTTTTTCCCCTTCCTGCAACTTATCTCTACCCCACTTCTTATTCTTTCTCTCTTTCTCAAAGTTTTTTTTTTTTTTTTAAGACAAGCAGGACAGTCTCCTCCACTCTGCACTACAGTTAAACTAGGAAACGGAAGGCTGCCAGAAACCTAAGTGAAGGCCTATTCTCCAAGCACTGCTAGCTATGTGTTGCAGGCCTGAGTCAGCACTTATAGACATGGCCCACTCTTACCTTCCCAGCCAGTGAACTCAGTACAGGCGCCTTCCTCTGTTAATGCCATTATTCTGTACTTAACATTGTTATTTAGAAGTGGTCACTGTGTAAATCTTAAAAGTACTCTCCTACTTTCAAACTCTTTAAAAATTATCTGTTTTGCTTTGCAGTATAATATAGCATAAGCATGCTGTTTTCTTTTTTAATATTTTCTAATAGGAGCGTTGATCACAGGATTTTCCATGTATAGTTTAATTTCATTTTCATAGTGCTACTATGGAAACAATGTCATTTCTGACATGTTACTGGGACCTAAGGTTCACATTCAAAGCTGGTTCATGTTGTCCAAAACCAGACTTTGGATGTAAATCTCTACTTGTTGGCTCCAAATCAATGTTCTGATGTTCTGACCAACAGGCAAGACTGCCTAGCTGACCAGGTTAGTCAGTGAGCATGATAGCCTCTGTCCTGGGAATTTCTTGTTGCCCGCTGCATCTTTTTTAATGGTGTTGAGGCTGAAAACACTTCTTTGCCATTTGAGGACTTGAATATACTTGCTCATCTCTTACATCTGTGTTCGTGTCTTTTCTTCTTAGAGTCTATCTCCCCATCTTCCTGTACTGCGCACTTACCCCTTATAAAGCATTTTGATAATTGAGCTGTGTTCTATTGAGTATCCTCAGTATTTTCCTCTTCAGGGGACATCCTATCACTTCTAACATTTCAGTAATTTAACTGGTGTTTTAGAGAATACCCTGGACATTTGTAAATTCTCACATAAATGTGTTATTGCCACAGGACCAACATCTGCAGGTAGAATGTGGGGGCACAGAAGTGTATGTTTGCTTCTAAGGTTGAATCGATCAAGTGTTGCATTCAGATATAGTGTCAAATTATAAGATTTTTGTGAATTACATTCCCTTGGTTGTCTATGGAACACTCCTCTCCCTGTGTATTTTACTGAAAAATATTACCAGTTTTACAGGCAAATACTGGAGGTGGTTGAGTTTGTGTGTTGGGACTGTGCATGTGTGCAGTAGTAGGATGTAGGTTTTGGATTTTCCCCTTCCCATATTGACTTGCTTTGTCAAATATTTTACAGTTTGTTTCTCTCCTTTTGAACTCAACCCCTCTAACATGCATTCACATTTAAAATGTCAGCAATATACACACAGTGGCATCTTGCATTAGTGTGCTGGGCATTGACTTTGATGCCTTCCATAGGACTTTAGTGTCCCATCTCTAAGTTTTATTCACATCTCCCTAACCTAAGAGTTTTGTATTAAATCTGCTTTCAGTGTGTCATTGTGTTTGACTGTGTAAAAATTCTTTGCTGTGAGATAAGTAATGTTCTGTGATTGCATTTTCCTCCCACTAGTATACATTGGTAATTCTTACCAGTTTCCATCTTCATATTCTTTTCCATGTATGTGCAAGGTCTTAGGTTGATGAAAAACAGGATTTCTGCCTTTGTTTTCCTTTGTATTTATTTCTGAAAGAGAAGGATAGTTGCAGAAGTGTTGTATTCTGCCACTATGAATCAATTATCCTGTGGATGGGTGGAAATACAAGGGCTCACATCAAACTG